AAAAAAAAAAAAAATCCAAAAATAAATGGGGCCAAATAAGTAATTTATGGATTTAAGCATTTTCTTCAGTTCAAATAGTCATGAAATCTTACTGGAAGGCAGCCCCTCATAAACACCGATAGTCTTGCTCTTTAGTACCTCTTTCCTAGCTGCCTGCAGAGGTGGGGAAAACTTTAAATCAGTACCGGCCTTAACCTCTGCTTGGCCAATGGCAAAATTGAGTCCCAGAGAAGCAGCCACTGCTGTCTTACACAACCTTAGCACCAGGGTGACTGACAAGCCCGAGAGTGGCTCCTTGGGTCACAGCATGGGTTGAGGTCCCCGTCAGTCTGACACCCTGGAGCCATTGTGATGGGGTGGAGTCAGGCCAGTTGAGGGATTTATCCAAATTCTCCTATCCTTGTGGTTCCCTGGGGAGAAGCAGCCTGAAGGCCTGAAGACCCTGCTCTCTGGTTCTAGTTCTACTACCCATTGATTAGCTGTGTGAAGTTGGTGAGCCACCTCTTCTTCCTCCTGCCCACCCTGCTCATTGGAGGAGGGCTCTGGCCTCTGCCAACTCCACAGTCTCACAATTTCTGCCTTTCCAGGGCCATCTGCCCTTGCTTAGGCATCTGCCCAGCTCTGTGTTCATCTCTTCCTTCACTTTGGTGGCTCCTATGTAGAGCACTCTCAGAGATCAGAGAAAAGATGTGTCCTTCAGTCTCAATTAGCTTTGACAATGTAGGGATGCAGAATATAATTGTTAAAAATCATATTTGGCCCCGATCTGTTTTTGTCTCCACCAAGTTTTCATGTGGCTGAGTTAAATGTTTAAATTCACTGCAGATAATCTGCAAGGTGCACTGGAGCAAATGTACAATGGACAGCAAGATGACTGTCATCAAAATGATCTACTGTCACCCTGAATTATCTCACACACACATCTACAAAGAGCCTTCATGCCAGAGTAACACCCACATGGTGACCTCACATAGGTGACATTAAAAAAACCTCAATCTCCTGAAAAAAATCATGAAATAGTTTCAGTACATATGAACGGAGCACACGTTTGTAATCAGTGAAACTTCTTTGATGGTGCCTGTTCAAATATCTGCAAATATTGTGAAAATACCCACAGATGGCACCCTCAGTTACTGTGGTCATGCGGTCTGCAGAAACCAACAGGGAAGCACAAAACACTGGATGTTGTGCATGTTCCAGGACTTCCCAGGCCATCTGAGCTTTCTTGTCCCAAGCCCAAATGGATAGTTTATAACCAAGTGTGCTAGAGAAGTCAGCTAGGTACATCATGAGAGGCAGCAAGTGAGACTGTGAGAGGAATTGGGGGCTTCAGGAGGCTTCTTTCTCTACCCACTCACACTTGATGAGAAGGAACTCTGAGAAGGGCTACCATGTCCCAAGCTGGGTAAGCACAGGGACAGCTAGAGACAGGAGGTGTGGGCTCCTGAGTAGGTGCAAGTGCCCTGGGCTGCCTCTGAGATGCCCACGTAACCTCCAGTGGGGCTCACCATAGGGCCAGGGGGAACACAGGGGTTTCACCACCCAAAACTGGGTTGTGATGGGCAGAGGGAGAAGGCAACAGAGGCTCATGAAGGAGCAGGGGTAGAAGAAAGTGCTGGACAGGGTGGAAACACAGGGCCTAAGTCCCTGCATCCTCCTCTTCTTGAATAGTGAGCAAGGTAAAGAAGTAGGTGTCAGGGGCTTCTTCAAGGCTACTTTAAGGTCATAGATGACCAGCCTATCTTGGGAAGAAATCACCTTTGGAAATGGAGCCCAGGGCAGGGAACAGAGAGCTCATCGTGGGAAACCTGGGACTGCAAGATTGCTCATGTGGCCGGATCTCTGTCTGACACACTGGAGTACTACACACCCAGCACTGATGAATTTGGGCTTCCAGAGGAGCCCCACGCTGGGAATCAGCAGCCCTCTTTTATTATAAAATTAACATCACCGAAAGCTTTAAAAAAGGAGCAGACCAAAAATATCACACCTTAGGCAAATGAGTTGAAGATCCCTTATAGCAGAACCTTATTTTTTCCACCCATTTCTCAGGTCAGAGGACACGTGGTAAAGAAACTGGTGTTTAGGTAAAGAAAAGCGATTCCTGGTACACGCGGTTTCCTGATGGTACCGGGTGGAAGTGACATCATGGAAACGCTTGTGCCTCAAGATCAGCCTGTACAGCTTCTAGGTGAAAACAGGAGTCTTAGTCATCAGTGGAGAAGAAGTGTGTGTGTGTGTGTGTGTGTGTGTGTGTATGTGTGTGCACCTCTGTGATCTGCTAACAGCTTTCTGCTGCTAAAGACGAAGTTTTAGTCAAGTTTGTGCTGGCTCCGGGGCAGGTTTTTCCACACTCTCAGCTCCCCTAAATGCACAACCTCAATGTGGGATATTCCACGCCTCAGCTTGTCTTGTTTGGAAGGAAATGAAATAATTGCTACTGAGAAGAAAGGAAGTTTATCTTCCACTACTGGGCAAGGGATCTATGACATAAGATGCCCATCCCTGTGGTTAATATGAACAGTCTCATTTGTATAGCATTCCCTATGGTGACAAAAGTGAGGGTGTGGCAGATTCTGCATGTGTGGACTCCTTTGTCTTAATTAAAAAGTATAGTGGGAGACATGGAATTTGGCCAAGCCTCATAAATCTGCTAAAAGAATCAAGATTGTCATATAAGTTTAAATGGAACCAACTGAGCCCCCTGGAGAATTAAGTAGATTTCCTGCACTTTCCTGTCACTTCTGCACTCCTAGGACGGCAGCTGTGCTCATTAACCAGCAACCCTCCCCACCTGCAGGTGACAGGCGCATCCCCACGGAGTGCCAGAATTCAGACATGATAAATTTACTCCCGCTTGTAAAAAGCAAACTCTCCTCAGGGCAATAAAAATGCTGGGAGGCTGTAAGGAAATAAGAACTTTATCTGATAACCTACCTTCATTAACAAAGCCTGGTCCTCCGGGTCTGGACAGCTCCTCACTGCCAGTGAAAACTGCTCCAAAGAAACTGCGAGGGAAGAAGCAGAAATGCTGAGCAGCCTCCCTCAAGCTGTCTGCCCAATGGGCAGGCGAACCCTGTGGTTGTGACAGGTGTAAGGGCACGCTGGCCCTCCTTTCTTGGTGACAGAGAAGAGCTGCCCACCTGCTCCCTGCATGGTACAGGGCCCACAGAATGACTTCGCTACCCTGTCAGCTGGGAAGATTACAATAAATCAGAGGTCCTGGGTTCAACCACCATGTGGACCATCCTGTGCCCCAGAGACTGCCCTCTATCCCCATTCCTGCGACTCCACAGAGGGCGTCCTGCCTGCCTTTGTACATTCCATTCAGCAGTGCTAACCTTCTCCATCTTTATTGTGACTTCCACGGCTGTAACTCTTCTCTTGGTGTCCACGTGATAGGGCTCCAGGTGTTGCCTCAAGCAAGCCCCATGAACTCCCCCAAATATACCTTCTTTCCTACATTGACCTCCTCAGGCAGAATGGTGGGGGGAAACTCAAGAAGCTTCACCAAAAGGTGCTTTTAACGATCCACTGGAATTGGCCAGGAAAGCACTAGAACTGCTCATCTAGACAATTCCCATAAACCACCCTCCCCTTTTCTCTCTCTGTGGCCAAGCCCACATCAAAGCCCACTTGTGTGAGCACAATTTTTATTTTGGCCTAAATAAGCACCGAAACAGACTGCCTTCCCCAAATGCTGTTTTGACCAAATTACTTCACTCTTTAATATGGCCCATGTTTTCCTACCACCCTCAGATATAAATCCTCTTCTTTGACAGGGATTAAAGCTTTTACTCTGTTGACCTCATTGCTAGACTCAATATGGTGCTCACTCTTTACCTGCTATGACCCCTCACTGCCCTTCTGCTGGGGACAGTCCCAGCCCTCGCCTTTGAGTAGAACAAAGCTGAGCCTGCACTTGAATACCACAGGCTGGCCTGTCCGTCCATACAAAGACACAGAGCACCCCAGGCCTTCCCCACTTCCACAGACACTCAGCTAAACAACCACTCTGGCCTGAGGGACAGTCCCATTCCCATTTTGATGCCCAAAATATCTGGATGTTATGTTAACAATTACAGATATTTGAAAGAGAATTACATTATCAATAATGAATTTTCATCAAGAGAACATTGGGTAATTTTTTGTAGTTTTTAGTGTTACCTATAAAATACAATTCTTTAGACTGTTTCGATTATGACAATTATGTGTAATCAGTTGTGTCTTGGGCTGATTCTTTCTTCTAAATCTAAATATTTGCCCTTCTCAGATCTAAGTGTGCTCAGGGCCAATAGAAGGATTGATGTGGCAGCCTGACATGTTGTCTCCAATATAGACACACACCCAATCTTCAGCTAGCTAGAGCCGATGTTAAGTACACAGAGTCTTAGCCTATTTATTGTGCTATAGCAGAATACTGCAGGCCGGGCCATTTCAAAAGGACATTTACTTCTCACAGGTGGGGAGACTGGAAGCCCAGGACTAATGCACTAACATGTGGTCTGGAGGCAGGAGGCAGAAGGACCAGCGAGCTGAAGACTACGTAAAGCCTCTTTTATCAGGGTCATAATCTCATCTGTGAGGAAGGAGCCTTCTGGGCCTAATCACCTCTTCAAGCTCCCCCCTCTAAATAGCATCACATGAACAACGTCTGAATTTTGGAGGGGACACATTCAAATCATAGCACATAGAATATTCCATTTAATTTTTTAAAATTAAATTTGCCTGTAAAAGGGGGTCAACAGGAGCCTGTAGGATAAGAACCCAAGTCCTGTAGACTTCACACAGTGCATGTGCCCTGCCCATTCCAACCCCCCCACTCAGCCTCCCCGGAACAGAGCCTGAAGGCAAGTAGTTCCTCCCACCAGCTCCTCTAGTCTGGACTTTCGCTGCTACCTGATTGGTGTGAATGACACACTGACCTCTGACTATTGTCTGAGGATGAAAAAGAATAATCACAAATTCTGGTGCTAGATTTTCTTTACATTCTCTTTTTTTTTTGGTACCAGGGATCGAACTTGGGACCTTGCACTTGCGAGGCAGTTGCCAGAACCACTGAGCTAAATCCCCGGGGCCCTATATCCTCTTTTGAAAGGTCTCTTTTTTAATTTGGTAAAGCTTATGCTCTGACACAGTCTCTTGAGGCAGGTTGTGGAAATCAAAGCATTTCTTTCTCAGTTCCTCAGAGGCTGTTTGGGTTTTGACCTCAGTTCCTTCTCTGTGGTACCTGCACATTTATGCCCCTAACTGCTCATGCATTGGTCTCCATTTTCTCCACATTTTCAGTTGTTCTCAAGACATCGCACCCTGTTCAAGTTCCTTTGAGCTCCCTGTACGTCCAATCCAGACCAGTGGGCTTCCAGGTGGAACCAACCCTCACCAGCACTACCCCCTTTCTGTGGGACTGCCATCCCCCTGCCACCAGGCTCTCCAAGCCAAATCTCCACTTCTTTATTCACATCCCCAAGTGGCTGGTGCTTACTGCATCCCTCCCACCAAGCTGTCTCTTTGACTTCTGCAGACTGGCCTCACTGAGTTGGCCTTGAGGCCCACCCTCCCTCTGGCCCTCTTGCCCCCTTCTCCCAACAGCAGACCAGCAGCCCCCAAGCTCCTGTGCCTATGCCGGGTCCCTCCCTCTGCAGTCCTAGCACCTTTCTCTGGTACACACTGGCCTCTCTGACAGCTCCTCACTCATTATTCCAAGACCCCGTACATGGCCCCATGATGCCCTCCCATCCCTCCCTTTCCCCGCATCTGACCCATCTCTGGGGCCAGCAGTCAGCAGCTCAGGAACTTCATCCTGCCACCCCCAGCCCCAAGTCTTTGGACAGGTCACATGCCCTTGCTACTTCAGTCACACATGGAGATGGCGCTTGCCCCCCAGAGTTCATGTGGGGACCAAGGGAGAGGCTGAGTGTGAACCAAGGATGCCATTGGCATGCCACCCGGTAGATTTTAGGACGCTTTCTCCAACTCTTTCCTGTCACACTGAGTTCAACCCAGGTTGAAGCACATCTGTGGGAGCTCAGGGCCATACTGCAGATGACTTGAGTCATCGTCTCAGGGGCTGGCTGAGTTTCACAGGATGAGCACCTAGGACCCTTTCTATGCAGATGACAGCAGCCCTTAAGGCGGAGGCCAGCAGCAGCAAAATAGTGTTTTCCCAGGCTTAGGTGTCAGTGACAGGTGTGCTTAGGCAGGCAGGCAGCGGGCTCATCCTTCCCTACACCCAACTCTGGTTCCTACCGAAGCCCCAGAAGGTACGGAAGGGCGTGGGCACTGCCAGCCGCCCCTCCAACACAGCTGTGCAGCCACTTCTTGGGCTGTCTCCACCAAGACCAAGAGAAGCGCCACTCTCTGGGATGGACAAGCTGATGTTTCATGCCCACCCTCCTTTCCCCAAACTTTTAAATACAGAAAAAACCCCTCTAAAGGAAAGCGTCTGTGCTATCAGCTTCCCTCCACCTCTGTGGCTGTTGCAAAGGGCTGAGTGCCCAATGAGAATAAGACAAACTATCATAGTGATCCATGCATACTGTTACCTCTCGCCATGGCCTGTTTCTCCTCTGCGATGCCCCTCTGCTACGCCACCCTGACTTGGAGCCAGCTGATTTTTGACTGAAACTGCTACAAACTGTGAGCTAAATCAACCTTTAGTCCTTTAACTTTGGATGTCAGGTATTTTGTCTCAGCAACAAGAAAAGTAGCTAAGACACATACTTATATGTACAGCAGCACAACTCACAACAGCTAAATCCTGGAAGCAGCCTGTGTGTCCACAAACAGATGAGTGGATAAAGAAAGTGTACTGGAGTCATTTGTAAGAAAATGGATGCATCTTGAGAACATAATGTTAAATGAAATAAATCAGACACACAAGCTTAAATATCACATGGTCTCTCTTCCATAAGAAACTCAAAGTATAAATAAATTGAAGAGCAAGATAAAAGCCAGGTAATGGGAAGCAGGGAGATGGACCTTTGTAAGTGGAAAGGGACCAGGAGATGGAGGGAGAGAAGAAGGAGGAGAGGGACATAAAGCAGAATTAAACTGTGTTCTGTGCCTGTAACCACTCCCCACAATGAATGAAATCATTATGTACCGCAAACATGAACTAATAAAAACAAAAATTCAATAATAAAGAGAAGAAGACCTGCTGCAAAATGAGCACTGGCAAAGAATGAGGTCCCACTGGGAGCACGATTTTCTCCGAGGAGACTCCAGGTGGGATCATTTCCTTAAGGGCACCTCAGTGTCTTAACTGCCCTGCATGTTCTGGTGCCTTCAGCTGGGGACACTAAAGATCCCAGCTGTGCGCCCAGAGTTACCTGCTTCCTGAAAAACCTCCCTACCTCAGTGTGATGCAAAGAAGGGCCTGACAAGACAGGGACAAGAGACCCTGTGGTTGTTGAGGACTGGGAGGGGAAAGCCGAAGGGCGAGAACAATCTAATTCAAGAAAAAAAAAGAAAACGGGTCATGTGGGGGAGAAAAATACAGACAGCCATGAGACACGTGTTTCCCTTTCTGACTAAGCTGCAACAGGCGGCAGGTCACTGTGCCCTGTGCCTCCTCAGTGCCATTTCGAATGGGAGATAGGACCTTGCAAAATGGGAGATACCTACAACCAAAGGAAGGGGCTGCCTCCACAATAAATTTCACTATGACATGTTGCAACTCAGGGGGACAAATAACACAAACCAAATGCTACCATTGTGCTTATTTTCCTCCTTGAAATATTGCTGGTAAGACTAGAATCTATTGCTACAGTTGATCCTGACAATTGATCTTAACCCATGGGCTGTCTGCTCAGAAACCCTATCTTAGAATCCCCATGCAGGGCGCTGGGTGATAGGCACCCTGCCCTGGGAGCTGAGTAGCACAGAACCCTGCTCTAGTGTTCTTCCCACCATACCCTTCTGTGGGCCATGGGGGAACCTACCTGGAATCTTCACCCCACTTCTCCTGGGGCCCCAACACCCTGGCTCTCCCAGCCCAAATAGCTTG